TCTTTCCCTCCTCTACCTTTTTTTTTATCCTTTTCATTCCCTTGTTCATTTTGGAGACAAGCATTACAGGAAAACTGCAGTAAGCTATTTTCAGGGCAGCTACATATTTTTTGACTTGTTGGCATCCCAGTAAAATCCTGACCTGCCAAGGGCATTTAGCCTTGTGACTTGGTCCTGTATGAGGTCCAAGTTTTGCAGCAAGCTGATAAACGCTGTGATTTACCGGTTGCCTGATGGAATCTTTTGCCCCAGAAGACATTCAGAGTAAAATCCGCAGTGATGCTTACAGAAGAACGGTAAGCCTTAAAAGTTACACGTTGGGCTGAAGGTGAGTAGAGACACAGCTGCCAGGCTTCAGCCAAGCCTGGCCCAGGGCTAACAGGCAGCTGCCCACCCCGGCAGCTGCCCTAAGAGAAGGCACCTTTACTGTACTGAACACGTGAACTTGTCCTGGCAAGCAAATCAGGCTGCTGGTGAGGAGGAGGATGAGCCGTGGCCTGTCCCTTGGCATCTTCACCTTGAACAGCAGGGAGGAGAACAGGAAGTAACAATGCCCCTGGGAAGAGGATCTGAGAGGACAGAGGGTCTGTTGAAGGGATGAGCTAATCGTGAGATTTCTTTCTCTGCTCCACTAGGATGGAATAAACTTGGTCTCAGCCCAGCATCCTTTGGGTGCAGTTCAGTACCACTGGGGAACTGCTGGATTAGGGAAGCAAACAAATCTTGTGATCATCTCCCAGCTCACATTCATTGACTCTAGAGGGTGTTGTCAGAGCTCCCCAGGTGGTGGGAGGTCAGGTGAAGATGTAGATCTTCATTGTGAACTACTTGGTTGTATTACGTGTTGAGGTGTAAAGCCCCCTTTGAAAATGGGACAATAACAGAGATTTTCAATAGAAATGTAGAGAGTGTCCCGTTGAGAAGAATTGGGTGTGCCTGGCTTACCTGCTCTGTAAAGGCTTTCACTGGCGTTAACCCATTAACTCATAAACGTAGGACAGCCAAATTACGGGTTCGTCCTCACAGTAACAAGAAGATACTGATTCAAGTGGGTCACAGGCAAACTTGGACAGCAAAGCCCGGGGGCCTGTCTGTGAGTAATGCCTACAAAGTTGAGTTTGCATCTTGGGGATGTGACTTGCAAGGTCTTTGGGGGATGCTGTGGCTGAGCCACCATCAGGACTCTGGCCTGCTGGGTGCTGCTCTAGCACCCACAGCCGTGAGCTCAATAACCTGCGCTGTCTGATCCTCAGCAACTGTGACTGAAATTATCGATGAATAAATTGATCGCTATCCTTCGGCAGCGTGTTTTCTACTCTGCCTTTACAAGTCTTCACTCAGGCATGAGACCTGCTGACTCCACGTGCTGAGACAGCACCTAGATGCTGTGGATTTGCTTTTATTAGAGAGGACTTTTAAAAGTTAAGACAGAGCTTAAACAAGACTGAAGCAAACTACGTGTAGGCCAGATCCTAAGTACAATTGGAACACCACCTCTTAACTGGCTGTCAAGTCTCTCCAAACCAAATTCTTTTTCAAATGTCTTTTTAGTTGTTGGTAGAAATTCAACTCAAGCATTAACCCAATTGAGTTGTTTTTCAAAATACATTTCTGGAAGAAGTGGATGTGGGCACGCAGAAGTAAAACTATCCTTGTAGCCGCCCGTTTGATTCTTTTACATTCTGAGAACTTGCTGCATAAAAGGCTGAGAGTGAGACTACCCAGAGGCCTCTGCTAGCATCTTCCTTTCTGTGACAAAGCCTGTACATAACCACCAGCTCACAGGAAAACTGCCTGGAAAATTGTCATTGTCAGTTCTGGCCATTGCACCAAGTACAGTGAGCCTGCCGATGGGAAGTCGTGAATGAAGCCCTTGGTTTGCTTTGCTTGCGTGTGTGGCTTTTGCTTTACCTATTAAACTCTCTGTGACAGGCTTTCAAAGCCTGTACATAACCAACCAGCTCACAGGAAAACTGCCTGGAAAATTGTCATTGTCAGTTCTGGCCATTGCACCAAGTACAGTGAGCCTGCCGATGGGAAGTCGTGAATGAAGCCCTTGGTTTGCTTTGCTTGCGTGTGTGGCTTTTGCTTTACCTATTAAACTCTCTTTTATCTCAACCCACGAGTTTTTGTACTCTTACCCTTCCGATTCTCTCCCCCAGCCCGGCTGGGGGAAGTGAGCAAGCAGCTGCGTGGTGTTTGGCTGCCGGCTGGGGTTCAACCGCGACATACAGTTTTCAAATTGCTCCTCCAATATTGATCCAGATACTGCTTTGGATTACCTGAAGATACTGGAGCATGTTAGATTTAACTCTATTACAGTGAAGTACAAATAGATTTTAGTCTTTATAAAAAGTCCTAAATCTTATCCTGTCCCCAGCTGTCAGATAAAATGATAAAGCAAAGATACTTCCCCAAACAGCCTCACTTAAAAGCTTGAAAAACAGCAGTAGTGTATCAAGTTTTTTTCTGATCTGAAAAACTCAGTTTCTAAATTCTAGACCAGATCATTCTTGGCTGCCTCTCAGGCAGATTCAAGATGCAATGTTCAACAACTCCAATGGCACTGAGGAAAGCAGAGGATAAAGGACAATACAGAAAGCAGCACAAAAGCCTTGCATGTTCTATTTAAAGTGACTTTATTAAAACATTGTTAATATAAAATGTGACCAAGTACAATTATTTTTTTTGTAAGAATGTTTAATAAAAACATATTAAAGAAAGAAGGAGCATCAACTCTTGTCAAAGCACAGGAAAAACCTACCAGGATAAGTAAAAAGTTCTGCAGCATGTTCTACCAGCTGGTCCCAATGTGTATTAGGGTCGAGTCGGCCGACGGAAGAGACAGGCAGCCCAGGTTCTTCCCTAAGAAGCTTTAATGTATTTAGCAGAGGTTTAAAATAGCACTCCTCAACAGTAGGAGACTTTGCTTTCAGATCTCCCCACATCAAAGTTAAGATTAGAATGCGCATCTTTATGATGGGTCTAAAACTTTTCAGCAGCTGAATGTACAGAAAATTAGATTCACTGGGAAGTGTAAAACCCAGGGTTAGCATTTGCCAGCTTTGAAAAGAAGGTGCAAGTCAGTACTAATTATACACCTAAAGAATTTGTGCTGAAGTTGTTCTAAGCTATATTGATGCTGGATGCTTGTAGCAAATGCTAAAAAAGGTGAGCTAAGGAAGGGAAAAAAAAAAAAAAAAAGTGAAGCCCAGGCTGGTAGAAACAGCAAGGATTTTCTGAACTGCTGAATGCAGAGACAATACCCATGAATTACAGGAGTTTGTACATCTCAGAAAGGATGTAAAGATGCTTTCAGAAGTCTACAAATAAGGCTATGCCGTGCCATACTCTGTGGCAATCTTCCTCATTAGCTAAGAAAACTTTTAAGAAAACATTAGAAAAACTGGAGGGTTTGGGCTTGGTGGTTCTATTTTCTTCAGGGGGCAGCTTACAGCATTTTCCTTAATCAACAAGTAAGTTTTAGTGCTCTGTCAGCATCCTCTGCTTGTTCAGAGCGAGCAGCACACCAATTAGAGGGAAGAATTCTTCCAGGACATCTCAAACTCTTCCTGTAACAGCCAGGAGAAAATCCTGCAGCATCCAATTCTGCACATTCAACTGCCCCTGGCATTGAACCAAATGTCAAGTGCTAATCCATGAGAAGCCTAGCACAATTATGGTCTAGGAGACGGTGACCTTCTTATAGCCTTGGCTGGGACCCATTAGAGCCCTGTGTTTTGCCTTCTACCCCAAACAAATGCTCTGGGACTATTGGTGAGGTAAAGGGAAAGGTCAAACCTTTGGCATTGGAGCAGACCAGTCACTGACTGTGCGTAGGGGGAATTAAGGCTTCAAGGTGAGGTAAACACAGTGAGAGTCAGTGTGTAAATCATGCTGCATTTCAGAGACGACAGATTCAAACGACAGCTAGTCTTGTTCTCTACATTTTAAACACCAAAGAAAGATCATTTGAAAGCAGAACTGGAAGCAAGTCTGCTGAGGGCCACCTTGAGATGCATCTCTGCACCTCGGGAACAACTGTAACCCAGATGTTGAACGCTGAACAGAATGTACCCACAAGGAGGAAAAAGCACCAAAGTTGATGAGTCCTTGAGACGATAAGCTGCTTAAAGAACAAAGAAGCCTCATACTGCTACAACCTCCCATAAACATAGTGGTTTCCAGACACAAAGGTAATCCACACTCCAGCAATTCCCAGTGCTGTACTTCCAGCACTACTATTACGAAGAGTTATGCTCTAGTAAGGAGGCAGTGAAATCATTAGGCCTGTGTTCCCTGAAGACAGTTTCTCCCATTCATTAGGTGGTGTCCCATTCCCACCCCCAAGTCTTTAAGCCGAAGACCAGAAACGCCTGCCATTGCCCCAGGTCACTTTTCTAACACTCTTATGTTATTTTAGCAGATTTGTAGGGTACGAACACAGTGCTTCTTTGGATCCATCATTTTGGCAATGCCTTTGCCCTCTTCAAAAGAAAAGTGTTTTCAAATAAATGGTACAAAAGTTGCTTTCAAACTAAATGAAATATAGAAATCAATGCAATTCTTCTGTATGCTTATTTTTCATACTGTTTTTGCTAGTTATCTGAAGTATGGAATTATTTGCTTATTTGGAACCATTGCATGTGCAACATTATTTCTTACAAGCCATGCTAGCAAGCTTTCGATTGAAAACAGCAATCTGGTCCTGTAGGTTCCATTTCTAGGATATGAAGACTCTCTGTTTTTTTTTTTTTTAACATGTATGGTAACTTCTCCCATCTTCTCAATACAGTAGCTACTGAAAATTGTAACAGATATTAAAAAAATATCCAAATGAAACCACATTTCTATCACTGTTTAAAAAACAAAAACGCATATGGTATTACAAAAGTTTATACAAAGGCAACATTTAAGAGTTTCAAAGTTACTTCTAGAAAAAGACACAAACGCTAGTAAATTAACATACAAGGAGAAAGATGTTCCGCTCCTTCCCCAAAATTGGTTTGATCTATTTTGAAGTATCTTTTACCAGTTGTCTAGAAAATCAAAGCCAGTCTTCAAGATAACATTGCTTGTACTAGTCTGCAAGGAAAAAAAAAAAAAAAGATAAATAAGATGTGGTTGTTAATTACGGTATTACAAACTCAGTACTTGCTGTTTATCTACAAAAGAAAGTTTAAAATATTTTCTGCCAATATTTCAAGTTCTTCACCTTGCTCTAGGATACCTAAGAACATACACCAGAAAATGCTAGATGTGGAAAAATAGTCACAATGACCAAAAAGACAATTCCAGATAAAATTCTTGTAGTGGTCTGCAGGCAAAATGTGGGGGTTTTTCCTCATGAAAAAAATTCATAAATTTTTAGACCAGAGTGGGAATTGCAGAGAATGAAACAAACCCAGAATGTAAGCATCACTAATTCAATGGATTGCCTGTTGCAATGACAGCCAGTTGTTTCCAGAAGACTACATAGTTTAAACTTTGTTGACAAGCTATTTACTAGGCTATCAAGAACGTGCTCACTCCTGCAGTGCTGCACTTCTAGCCATGATGTTGAAAATTATTTTAGTGGTCAGGAAGACTATTCAAGGGACACAGCTGAGTCTCTAGATTCTCTTCCTAGACCATGGCTCTCTTCCCCAGAACAGGAAAGATAAGTCAGAAAAGAGGAAACAAAGAAAATTCTATCATACTGTCTTCTCTGCTACTCTGTTGACATTTTGACATGGGAGGATTGTTTCTCCAGAGGGAGAAAAAACAGGCTTCTCAAACTATTTCAGTTAGCTAGAAAACATTCACAAAGGAATTAAAACTGTAACAAACCATTAATTTGTAGGAAAACATGATAAAGCCTTTAACTAAAATTAAAGGTCTACTGTGGTCACAATTTGTAGCAAAACAGCTCAAGCAGCTTTATGTCTTAGCTTCAGAAAAAAAATAACTAAACATAGTGCTCCAAATACTGAAGTGGCTTAAGTATTGTTCTCTCCTAAGTGCTGCCACTTACTTCTCCTGCAAGTATTTACCTCATCCTGCATCTTTTTGGCCTTACATCATCTTGTTCGGAATTTAAACAATTGCTGTTGGGAAAATATGGTAGAGAAAAAGCTATGCGACATACTTAAGGTGTACAGTAATATGTCAGGCTTATGCCAGAGCGATGCTACAGATTCCAAGCAGAACTGCACAGCTCTGTTTGAAGAGCCACTCCTCTACTTCACAGTTTTCAGGCTTCAAATCTCTTCCTTTTCTTTCCCTCACCATGTCATATCCTGTTATTCCCTTTCTTTTCTCACAGATCAGCATCTGGGTTTTAAAAATATCTTCAATTGGCTATTGAGCTGCTTAAGGTTATTTTTTTGTTGTTGGGTTGTTTGGGTTTTTTTATTTAAAAAAACATTGAGAAGGCTAATTCTGGAAGCTCATTCCATTTCCATTTTGAACTTTAAGAGAAAACACATTTGAAAGCAGCGCAGCTGCCTGGGACAGAGCACTGGGAAGTGGCTGTTGGGCTACCGCTTAAAACAGCTGAGAAACTAGTAGTTCACCATTCACTGCTATGCTGTGCGTACCAATCAAGTATCCTAGACTCTAGCTTCAAGTCAAAAACTACTTTTTTTTCATTAAGCATTTTGCTGTTTCAAGAAAAAAAAAAACCAAACCAAAACAACACAACTATTTTTCTTGATATAGCAAGCTCTCTACCCCAAACTGTTAGATAGCCAGTATCAGCCATATCAGCATTTTTGGTATTATATTTAAATGATGCGTTTATCCTATGCACTTTACCACATTAAAAAATACCTGACTGAAATAAACAATAGCCATTAACATGTTGATTAAATAGACTTATTTAAATTTGCAGGATAAAAATCCAGCAAGCTTAGCTATGGCTTAATGCTTTATGGAATCCCTTATCTTCCCGAGCACACTTGTCAGATTTCAATGTGCTATACAGTTTTTAAATCTAAGGACAGTGTATATAGCAGTCCTTACTTGTCCAGGCATTTGTGGATCTGTAAGTAAGGTACCATCAGAATCTTCCTTGTTTGTCCTAGAAGAAGCCAGGTCCTGTGGTGGGTCAGGAAGAAAGAAGTCATCTAGAGAACTAGCAGGGAGTTGAGTGGGTCGAGGTTTCTCCCATTCAAGAGATACAGAAGGTAGGCTGGGGGTGACAGACTTCTCTGGTTTAGTTATGCTGGGCTTCTCAGCTTTTGCCATCTCCTTTGGAGCAGACTCTTGTCTGTAAAAAGAGGGAAGGGGTTTCTCTCCTTTCTCCATGGACTTGATCTGGCTAGGGGTCAGGGACTGGAACTCAGACTTGTCTCCTTCAAACTTTGAGCGCTCTGCGTTTATCTTCCAGAAAGAGGACTCCTCTTCCTTCCTGGATGCTATCAACCCATCAGAGCCAGCGGTCTTACTGGCCTGAGAAGATTTAGGGACTTGGACACCAGGTGCTGCTTTAACAGGCTGCCTCTGTTCGTTTTGCAGCTGGGCACCGCCTTGTTCTTGTATGGACAGAGATGCAACGCTGAACTCCATCTGACTCTGTTCAGGGTTAAAGAAAAACAGTATTTCAAAGCCCTTCACAAAGACATAGTTTTGAACTTCTGATCTTGATGCACATAGATAACACTTTTGCCCACGGCTAAGCAACTCCCAGACAGTAGATACCACAGCAAAGCTAACTTATTTCATCCGTAAATGTCTTATCTTTGTAGCCACATAAAAATAATAATTTTTTAAAGTCTGAACTGCAAGCAAATGTGAGTCCTAGACCTGGTGCAAAGGAGTCAGAGAAAGCAACTGCATTCGAGTTACTCCTTGCCATCCAAGATAGCAGTGCACAGCATGCACAGCACTAAAACATTAGAACAGTTGTGGATGCATTTTGAAAGCCATAGATGTTTTACGTGAAAATATAAAGCAAAAAAACTTTACAGTGTAGTTTAAAAGGCAATCTTCCATTATAGTGTTTGAAATAGTTGGCAACATGTTACAACTCCATCTACTTCCAAGATAAAGGATTACATGTAATGGCTATATGTAGATAAGTGGGTTTTACAATTCTAATGCCCCTCTGAAGGAAGAGAAACAACTCCAGCAGGACCAGTTCTTCACTTATTCCGGAGCCTTGGTTTGTTTTTACTCGCAGTACAGATAGCTGTACTCATTTCTGAGAGGTTAACAGTGGGTCAAGGAAGCAGGTGACCACAGTTCAAGCATGATACACATCTTGCAAAAGCCACCCAAAAGCGAACAGTACTTCCAAATGTTCATTTTACTTAACTGAAGTGGTGGTATCTTGATTGTCAACTAGCTGGACACTCTATGCTAATAAAAAGTTAAATCTTATTTCAAGCTGAGGAACACACAAGCATTACTGTATTTAGGAGCACACAGAAAAGAACAACCTAATGTCTAGACTTTTGTTTGCAAAATGGAGCAAACAACGCAAAAAAAAAAAAATTAAAAATGCATTTACTGTTAAAGCTATGCTGTTGTCACTATGGGCCTGATCCTAGCTCCTTGTAAAATTAACTCTATCCCTGCCAGATCCAGGACAATGCATTTACTGTTAAAGCTATGCTGTTGTCACTATGGGCCTGATCCTAGCTCCTTGTAAAATTAACTCTATCCCTGCCAGATCCAGGACAATGCATTTACTGTTAAAGCTATGCTGTTGTCACTATGGACCTGATTAGTTTTGAAAAAAATCAGACGACATTTCAAATACTAGCTTTTGCTGCAAGCAGTTAATAGATACTTTTGAAGACCATTACAGATTTGTGATGTTTTCCGCTTTCTACTTCACTACTTGGCCTTTCCTGAATAAAATCACAATAGCACCTATGGGCCTGAGTCTGAAACAAGTCCTAGTTGCATACCATTTTCACTAGAAGTGTTTGATCTTGAGTCCTACATTAGTGTGCATGTTAAGTTCAAAGGGAGTCTAGATCTAGCAGGTCTCACACACCTAGTATTTAATATTCAGAAACTTCTCATCAAAGTGCAAATGCTAACTAAGCAACTGATTATTTATAAAACTTTTTTTTTTTAAAAAAACAGTCAGCAGCTGACTACACATAATTTGATTCATGGAATAAGAGCTGAACTTTCTAAAGAATTAGATACATTCGGTATTTTTCCAAAGTTGTAGGCAAGGAAGCACCAAGCTGCGTGTTTTCTTTAAGAATATACTGTGTTATCAAAAGATGCAGAACATAAACAAGCTGTAAGTAATTATAGCTCAGGTAGAATAAGGTGAGTGCAAGGATACATGCAACCCCTACCAAACAGCTCAACACCCCACCCTGCCCGCAAAAAACTAAGAGGAAAACCTCAGTGCTCCCATTTTATTTTTTTTATAAAACAGAAGTCATGATGTAAAGTTAAAAACAGGAGATTTTTCCTTAAATTCTGCATAAACAAGCCATGGATGCAATGCTGTTGAGGATTATTTACAGTGACTGCCATTCCCTATATTAAAATATAGGGATTTATTTCCCTAAGCTCATTTGGCAATATTACCGAATAGAGATTTACCACCCTGATGTTAAGATGCTTTAAGACTTCAGAACTGATAAAATCCCAGCTTAAAAAACCCACAACATAAAATAGACCTGCACTTCCCCAATATCCAAGGGGAAAACAAAAATTAAAAAATTCCACCTTGGAAGACTAAAGTGCATTGTCATGTAGGAATTAAAACAGTGCTACTTTCTATCCTTCAACAGTCTTCCTTCTTCTGAGCAGCCTGTCCCAGGGCTCAGACTAGAGATGACAGTAGCTAAAGGCCACCACAGCAGCAGCTGGTTTCAGTGAAATGATTCCTTCACCCCACAGCCCAAGAGAGAGGGAAGGTCAGTGCCCAGAGGGGCCCTTGCAGCCCCAGATCCACCAGAATAGCATTGGAAACAAAATCCAGGAAAACCACTGATGGAAGGGAAGCAGGAGTCTGTTAGAACAAAAATTAGAAAAAGGAAAACCAACAAGACGCCTTTCCCTTTCAACGGCAACAAGATAGACAAGCAAAGCCAGCCCTCCTGGAAAGTTCTTATGCTGTGGAGCAAAAGCCACTGCCTGTGGTCAGGTTTAACGATCTTTCGTATGGGACCAAACACCAGCTCAGAGGTCTGGTTTGGAAGTGGCAGACTACTTCTAGTGTAGGGAAGAGCGTGGCACTGTGGCACAACGTCAGGCAGTTTGTACCTTTTCCAACCCGCTCGTGGATGTGTGTTCTGCAGAGAATGCTCCTCTTTGTCCTTTTAGAATGGAGGCTGTGGGGTATACCTTTCCATTTCAGAAGACAGGATCACCTGACATTTAAGATTGCATATCTGTGTCATGGTATGCTTTGGAGATCAAACAGTTCATAACCTGACATGGAATAATGTGTATGAAAATACTTCTTCTGGAGTTTGCTTTCTCCCCCAAGGAAGGTGAAGAAAATAAGACTACCCCGACAGGTTCTGAAAGCACCACGTCTCAGCATGATGTAAATACAGCCCTGAGAGGTCAGATGTGTAATTCTGCTTCTAGCATGTAGGTCGAGAAGCTGAGAACTTCTGTGGACCTGTCAAGTTATTCTATTTTCCTAGGAGCATATAATGTTTCTATTTGACTTTCAAGGTTACTTAAGATGTCTGAACCCCTAAGAAATGCAGCTGATGAAAGAAAATTATTAACATGCAATATCTTTCACATCACAAAATTGGCCCCCAAACTAGAGCAGCAGGAGGTAATTTCACGTAGAGATGGAGGAGACCCACGTGCGAAACACCCCATGCTGATATCTAAGTACTACTGTATGTTCTAATGAGTGGACAGACGTTAGAAATATGAGTTTAATTAGTGTTCGGCTCTCAATTTCTTACATCAGATTGCAAATTGGCAATTGATTGGGTCAGCAGGAGAGGGAAGGAAACGGCGTTTAAAACACCGTTACCCCAAACCAAACATGCCTTTAGGCATGCCAGTCATGGGAATGTATCTTGATGCGCATCTCCCCCTGCCCCAATCAAACTGATGGCAGCAGCTAGTCCGTACAGGGCTGTACCGCATGTTCGCTTTGCTCGGGCTGAGGAAAGCGTTTAGCAGCAGAGCTGCACTGGTGGCACTCCACCAGCTGCCGCCTTGGGGAAGCACACACTGAACGTTTTGCTAAGATGTGGTGGTCAAAAGTGAATTGTCATTTAGGCACAGTTTGGGTTTCAGTCCCTAGCTGCTTTCCTAGATTTTGTATGACTATGAATGAGCTGCAGTTTCTGTACTTGAATTCCCCATCTAAGGAATAAAACAAAAATACTTTCTTTTTCCTACCATTTGTCCAAATTATATTTCTGGTAACTGTTCAGCCCAGAAAGTCCTGAGACTTTACACACTGACTAGTACAGTCCCAACTGCAATTTCTAGAATTTATCAGAATTCAAATAAAAGCTAATAACAGCAGTAGTGTTTTCAAGATATTGCAAGAACAAGCCATTCTCAATGCATTTAAGAGGGGGGGGGGGGGAGGGTGCATGTGAAAGCATGCACAAAGTAGTATTTTGAGGCAGAACAAACCTAGAAGTCTGCGTTCTTTTCAGTCTTATCCCTCTGGTCCCAAACCACTTCAGGGTTAAAATAAAGGATGCCTAGGTCTTAGGTCATCTTTCTGTCTAATAAATATTAGTAGTATTCAAAATTGTAGTTTTTAGGAGGTTGCATGTCCATTTTTCATTAAAAAGACCATATTAAGGTATATTGGAATTTTATTTATTGGATTAAACAATTTACACCTAAATTAGTCTCAAGGCAGGGACAATCCACTAAATCATACTACTGGCTGTAAATACTCATGGGAAACAATGTATTCTAAAAGAGAGGCACCACACACTAAGAATGTAATGACTCAGTAATACCATATAAAATCAGGTCTCAGTTCCTAAGTCTACACTGAAAACAAGATGACCACAAAGAACCCAGGAGCTCTTTTTTTTTTTTAAGCATCTTATTCACTCATCAGGAATGTGTAGTATTTTACTAAACAGTCAAGCAAACACAGCCAAAACAAATTGTTTTGCTTGGCAGCCTGAAAAATCCAAATTGTTGAGACAAAGACTGCAGAAACACTGTCAAAAGCAACTTATTTTAAGCACAGTCTGATATATGCAGCAGTAAAAAAGCTAAGTTTAAAATGATTTAGAAGATGACTTTGCTTTGCTGAATGGACAAAACCAAAATAAATATGGGACCCAAAGTAGTTGCTGGTTTTGCTTTGTTTCCTGTGCACACTGTGGGTGCTTTCAGGATCTTTTCAGAGTCAGAAAGAAAACTTTAGGTCAGCAAAGACCAATCACAAGGGCAAAAATAGAGCAAAGCACTCAAAAAACAATCTACATAATTTTAGTCCATACAGAAAGACAATGCCAAAGATACACAGCATAGAGCTTTGGAGGAAATTTCATGGCCTACTCTTTGGTGATACAGACAGCATTCTAGTCTACCACTGTCAGTGGTTAGCCGGAGCAAACTCATACAGACACTACCTGGTATGTGCATGATTT